CCCGCGAGTTCGTCCTCTTTGGATTAATTTACGGTTAAAATCGCGCAAAGTTTGAAAAATTCCCTGAGGATTATGGAAAAGCGAAGCCTTCTCACTAAACGAAACACACTTTGCTCGCTGCAGGGCAAAAACTTGCAAGTTCCCATTTTCTTTTGTTTCAAAACAATATATTTTTGAAACTTGCTTCCTGAATTCAAGACTGAAAGTTCAAAAATTCCTCAATCAAATCCGAAACCTTTACTGATGTATCAAGCAAGTTTTCCCCTATTTCGGATTATCCAAAAGCAAAACTTTCGCTCTTAATGAAACACACTTTGGTCCATTCAGTCCGAAACCTTGCAAGTTGCCATCTTTGTTTGTTTGGTTAAAATTATTTTCTCAAAACTCGCTTCCTAAAATCAAGATTAAAAGTTTGAAAATTCATAGAAAAATCCCTGATAAAGGAACTAATTGGAAACCTTTACGTTGAGATCAAAAAGTTTCTCCCATTTTCAGAAGAGTTAAAAATTTTAAGTTATGCGACAAAAAACCCCGCGAGTTTGTCCTCTTTGGATTGATTTGCGGTCAAAATCGCGCAAAGTTTGAAAAATTCCCTGAGGATGATGCAAAAGCGAAACCTTCTCACTAAACAAAACACACTTTGCTCGCTGCAGGGCAAAAACTTGCAAGTACCTATTTTCTTTTGTTTCAAAAAAAAATACTTTTGAAACTCGCTTCCTGAGTTCAAGATTGAAAGTTTAAAAATTCACTAAAAAATCCCTCAATCAAATTCGAAACCTTTACTGATCTATCAAGCAAGTTTTCCCCTATTTCGGATTGTCCAAAAGCAAAACTTTCGCTCTTAATGAAACACACTTTGGTCGATTCAGTCTGAAACCGTGCAAGTTGCCATCTTTGTTTGTTTGGTTAAAATTATTTTCTCAAAACTCGCTTCCTAAAATCAAGATTAAAAGTTTGACAATTCATATAAAAATCCCTGATGAAGGAACTAATTGGAAACCTTTACGGTGGGATCAAAAAGTTTCTCCCATTTTCAGAAGAGTTAAGAATTTTAAGTTATGCGACAAAAAACCTCGCGAGTTCGTCCTCTTTGGATTAATTTGCGGTCAAAATCGCGCAAACTTTGAAAAATTCCCTGAGGATGATGCAAAAGCGAAACCTTCTCACTAAACGAAACACACTTTGCTCGCTGCAGGGCAAAAACTTGCAAGTTCCCATTTTCTATTGTTTCAAGAAAATATATTTTTGAAACTCGCTTCCTGAATTCAAGATTGAAAGTTTAAAAATTTACCTAAAAAAAATCCCTCAATCAAATTCGAAACCTTTACTGATGTATCAAGCAAGTGTTCCCCTATTTTGGATTGACCTAAGGAATCCCTGTCCCTAATTGGTCCAGGAGAAAAATGGAAAAAATCGTCGCGGGTCGCCAACTCTGGCTTAATTTCTGAACCAAATCGCGCAATGTTTGAAAAATTCCCTAAAATTCCTTGAAGTTGCTGTCAAAGCAAAACTTTTGCTCTAAATGAAACACACTTGACTCCATTCAGGACAGCTGTCTTCGATTATTTGAAAAAAAATTTTTTCCTAAAACTCGTTTTCTGAAATCGAGATTGAAAGTTTGAAAATTCACAGAAAAATCCCTGATGAAGGAAAAAATTCGAAACTTTTACGGGTGTATCAAGCAAGCTTTCCCCTAATTTCAAAAGAGCTAAGAGATCTCTGTTCCCAATCGGTCTGGGAGAAATATGAAAAAAGTCTTTGCGGGTTCATCTACTCTGCACTTTCGGTGAAAATCGCCCACAATTTGAAAATTTTCCTGAGGATGGTGCAAAATCAAAACTTTCCTTCTAAATGAAATATAACAAGCAAACATTTGCACCATGCAGGTCAAAATCTTGCAAGTTGGTGTCTTTTTTTGTTTAGAAAATAAAGTTTTCTCAAAACTCGATTTCTAAAATCAAGATTAAAAGTTTGAAAATTCATATAAAAATCCCTGATGAAGGATCAAATTCGAAACTTTTACTGGTGTATCAAGCAAGTGTTCCCCTATTTTGGATTGACCTCAGGAATCCCTGTCCCCAATTGGTCCAGGAGAAAAATGAAAAAAATCGTCGCGGGTCGCCAACTCTGGATTAATTTCCGAACAAAATCGCCAATATTTGAAAAATTCCCTAAAATTCCCTGAAGATGCTGCCAAAGCAAAACTTTTGCTCTAAATGAAACACACTTGACTCCATTCAGGACAAAATCTTGCAAGTAGCTGTCTTCGTTTATTTGAAAAAAATAATTTTCCTAAAAGTTTATCCCATTTTCAGAAGAGTTAAGAATTTTAAGTTATACGGCAAAAAACCTCGCGAGTTCGTCCTCTTTGAACTAATTTGCGGTCAAAATCGCGCAAAGTTTGAAAAATTCCCTAAGATTCGTTGAAGATGGTCGAAAAG